TTACATAAAAAAAAAGAAAAAAGCAATAAATAAAATTAAGTGAAAATGTTTCTGCTCGAATAAGCAAATAAGCGAAAAATGAGATGTTTCGCTGTGGGAATAAGGTTATCGGAGGCCCAATCCTTCCCCCTCCTTTCCAATACAACTCCTCCAGTGAAGCGGGTGTGCATGGACGAGGCCGATTCCTTACGATCAAGTAACATCAAATTTGTAATATTGAATTAAAAAATTAGCCATCTTGAAATAATGCAGACGTAAAGGATCGCTAATTAAAAGTACCCATTAGGAAAGTAATAAGTAGTTTAAGTATTTTATTATGAAAATTACATCTGCATTTTCCGATGTTAATATTTTATGCAAAATATGTTACAATTGGATGCTCAGTGGGTTTCATAATGATGTGCATTCCTATTGCGGCTTTATCTACCAGGTTATTAAAACATTGGTATAGAAAATTGGCTATAATAAAATTACTAGTGTTTTAGCAAATCTGGAGCAGTGTCGCTGTTCTTCATTGGTTTTCGGGGCCTGTTTTTCGGCTACCATCATCATCATCATCAGCTTGTAAGTGCCCACCAAAGGCATCTTCTCACACAGAGAAGATTTGAGCATTATCACCAAGGTTGCTCAAGGCAGATTGGCGATTTCAAACTTGTAATTAGGTATTATAAGTCCAGGTTTCCTCACGGTGTTTCCCTTCACCGTAGGTATGTCATAGTTTCTAAATTATCATAGAAAGCACATATGACTCGGAAAAAGTCACATTGATACTTGTTAGGTTTAGAACCCGCATAGCATGAAAAGCGCCTTAACTTACGGCCCACCGCAATATGATTGGTTCTCACTGGTGGTCGTAAATGACACAAAGTAATTGTTCAGCTCGAAACAGTATTTCTCAAGATTAGAGCTATCAAACGATGAAAAAAATTTGTTAATAATATTAGTGTAAATAGGCACCAGTAATAAAAAAACATGTAAGTAAGTCAACTCCAAACTAATCTTATAGAGAAATAGCTAAATAAATGTTGACGTTTATGTTTACGACTTCTGACCTTATGATATCACAATACAAGTTAGTACGCTTCCGTATGTTTCCTTTTGTACTTCACTCAATACGGTATTAAAAGCTTGATTCGATTTTACTTTCCATTTTCTAAATTATATTCCAATAGCTATACCTTTCAATTTGTATCTTCTCAGTTATTGCTGTGATATCGACTAGATATGATGCCCTTTTGATATGACTGTTGATTGGATTGTTAGATTTATCTGTGTATACTAGTCTATACTAATATTATAAAAAGGTAAAATTTGTAAGTTTGTATGTAGGGGGTAACCGTTGGAACCGCTGGTCGGATTGCCAAAATTATTTCACTGATAGATAACAACAATATTCCTTAGTGCTATAGGCTATAAAACATCACGCTACGATTAAATGGAGCCGAGCAGTGGGCCAAACCACGCGAGAGTAGCTAGTGTTCGCTATAAATATGTTTTCTTTATTTTTTTTCTGCAAATCCAAAGTCGTCTTTTACAAAAAGCTAAAACGAAGATGGTGACAGAGATAATAATAATAAAAACTAAGATCAAATTTATACGTGCATTACATAAAATCTATATATCTTAAGTACCTACATGGACACTTTCTTAATACAACCACTAGTCGTATAGGAAATGAAGCAATAAAATCGATCCAATGACGATAAATAATGATTGACGTGTGAAATTAAAACTTTAAACTCGTATTTACACTTACTAGACAAGTAAACTTGTTATAAATAAAATGCGTATAATAAAATTCGTTACACAATTGCTTTCCGGCCAATTATTTGCTAGTTTGACTTCCTCCGCTACAGTACTAACATTATTGCGTTCAAAGTCTAGATTTTTGACTAAATGTCGGATGTCGGATAAGGTCTGATTGCTGTAGTTACTAGGCCTTATCGGACATCCTTTGCTTAACATGTCTGTTTGTAAAGAACAGTGGTTCTCAATACTGTTTTGTAGCGTTGTGTTTTACCGTATGAGAGAGATTATCGGAGCCGCAATCCTTCCCTTCCCCCATCCCTCACTAATCTCCAAAATCCTTTGACCCCTAAAGTCCGGTAACGCACTTGCAACATATCTGGCGTTATGGATGTCGTTCATAGGCGGCGCTGATTGCTTACCATCAGGTAATCCGTCACCTTGTTTGCTGCCGTATCACAAACAAAATAAAAACAGGAATCGAAGGTTGCAGAAGTAGAAGTCGTAATCAAATTACAATATTTGATGGCTATACAAAGTTGATGAAAATAGGTATGTGTCAACTGAATGACCAAAATTGTAAACTGGAAAACGAAACAAATGATGAAATGGCGAAAATTGGCGCAAAGATAGCTAGTACCTAAACTATAAAAGCAATCGATTTTAATTAGTGCCCCGTCAATAAGTTATCATAAAAGCAAGATTCAAACAACAGTTTTTCCATTAAAATACCTTCAGTGTTGCAACCGATAACTAGTCTGATGTTGGCATCGAAATAAATTAAACTTGGAGAACAACATTTTCTAGAATAACTCCACTTCAATAGATTTAAAATCGTACACTTTGTTTATTTTTTAAACGAGATTATCTGTTCAGATTTGGATCCTATTTTTCCATTTGATTAAGTAATCTTATCAAAACGTTCGGTTGAACACTTATTTAATACTAGTGGCGCGCCCCAGCGTCTACTGGATGTTATTTCCCGTAGTCTCCGGTGGATGTAGCGATTTTTTCTTTTATACAAACCTTGTCTTGACGATAACGAATTCTAAAAAATAAGTTTTAATACCGTGCAGTCAGTTGACAGTTATGAGAGTACATTTGTTTGTAAGTATTCGGTTAGATTTTAAATAGTTACTACTATACTAGAAATAACTAATTATGGTATAACATTATTTCACATATTCTGTCCCTTTTCTTACGTTGTCTTCATTGAACCGAGTTAAGCTTTCAATAATCGCATGAATTTACGAACTTGTTGGTGTTTCATCGCAACAGACTTACTCTTTGAATATAGAGCATAATTATATCAGGCTAAAAAGTGCGTTACGAAAAAAGTTTAACAAACATTATTGCAGAGCTATTTGCTCTGATTGATTCACAGGACGTTCTAAGCCCAATGGTGGTCTAAATAACTCAAGCTAGTTAAATTGCATTGAGTTTCTCGATCTAAACCGTCGATTGTGATGGACAGTCGACTCTAGTAGACACTAGCACCACAAATGATATAAAACTTAAATCTCTTCTATACGGTTTCTACTCTAAGCGAAGAGCTTAAAGTTTAATATCGATTGAAGGTGTTAAGAGATTGATTGGGATAGCTTGACTGTAATTCGTCTAGTTTAAATTGAACAGTTTGTTGAGTAATGTAGGTTTGGTCTAGTTTGGTATCTGTATTAGAGTCTTCATGCAATAAAGGGCAGTCCGCTTTTGTTGTACCTGCGGCACCATAAAGATCAGCTCGTGTTTTGAAATTGATAGCTTTAATATTCTCAATCCCATCATGAGAATTGTGTTCTGAACTTTCAAGGAAATTAGATCTTATTTAAAAAATATTAAGGTCAGTTATAATTTCTTCTTCATCATTACCTAAGGCCCGTTACTATTTCTTGCTGTTGCTATGATATCATTTTGTTATATCGCGACCCATTGTGTAACATAGATCCAGCAGCATTGTCGATACATGTCGCAAAACGTTAGGACATGTCCATTTCCACAACATAGTCAAGTGGCCAACTTGCAAAAATCATACAAACCATGACGAGAAATTTCATGCAAGACTTATTTAATACAAAGACGTGACTACACTAGTAAATTTGTAGATACGTTATGTAATTAAGTGATCTCATTTGCCAACCAAAGGCTAATTATTTGACTAGTGACCAGCCTTCACACAGTACAGTGGAGCAGTCAAAGCGCTCTAGTTTGCCAAGATTGGTGGACCAGTAAACCACTCGCGGGCTTACACACGATGCTGCAATTTACCGTTACCGCTACATGTATCAACGTAACAGCGGAAGCGTAATTGTGGAGTTTGTTCTGTGGTGATCTACCATCTGGTCGCTACAAACCGGTTTTAGCTGTTTCGTCAATGAAACTGTTACATCTCACTATTACATTTTTTTTTTGTATACGTATCTATTTCGTAGGCCTTGAACTAATTGACGGTTTAGAAATGAGAACGAGTTCTACAACAACATCCGCCAATAGGAAGTCGTTTACATCTGTGTTTACTAGATTCTTTAATTTTGTTTATCATTTCATTGGTCACATTTTGAACTGTTCCAATTAATTTATGGTTTATTCAAGGATGAGTTCTTATATTTTTATTAAATCAAATTAAATCTGGGTCATTATTTACGTCATACGTATGTTGCAATATGCAAAAATGGTAATTCATACTCATTACATTTTAGTTTTATTTTTTATTTGTAAGTCCTCCATTTTTTTCCTTTTAATAACTTAGAGGTGTAAATTTGTAGAATATTTAAAATTTATTGTTTCTGAAATTTTACGTTGTCTGTAATTGGAATGTCATTTCGTCTCTATTGTAACCCAGTCCACAGCAAATGTAGTCCGTACGAAATCTTTCCAACAAAGAAGTTATAACATACTTCTGAATTTATTATTTTTTGAGGTACGATCTTGGCATTAACGTTCAAACGGATTTATTATAATAAATACGACTTTATTAATAGTGCAAAAATATATGTCTTTGTTATACTTGGTTCAATTACCTGGTCATGTGCTTTCAAAACTAGTTGCAATAATGTGATGAAACATGTGCAGTCATTATACTATTACCTTCACAAAGTAATTTTTTTAATCAAATATTTGAAAAGCTGTGTCTTAGAAGTGATATTTTTTCATTTAGTTATTATCCAAAAGAGATACTTATTTAAATTTTACAAATAATAAAATAAAAATAATAGTAATGAAAACAATGTATTACAAATAAAAACATCAATAACAATTTAAAAGAATCCACATAGATCTGTTGTAGTTTTCGGATACGAACCACCGAATAATCTAACTGGTGTTCTACTCCAGTCTATATACAGCATTGGATTGCGCTGCAATTCTGAATCCTGCAGCGAACACTTTTTGTAATTTTGCAGAATAAACTCTATTCCAATATTCTTCATTTTAACCGGAGATAATATGTGTGACATGTCGATACTCCCATCAGTCTGCACATACAATACGCGGTCGTACAATTCAATGTTTCTACACACCCTTGGCCCCAAAGACCCTGGAACTGTAGAATCCGCATAATCAGTCTCAGATCTATATTTATTTATATCTGGTATGTTCTCATTTCCACCAACAAAACTTTGTTTATTCTCCTCAGCATTAGCACCAATAATGTGACGTTCATTTAATGCATTTCCTATTTTAATGTGCTTGTTAAAATTGTTTTTCCGACTGTTGTGAGTTTTTCCTTTCACTAAGCGATGCTTGTCAGCCATTTTTATTTTTTTATTGTGTCCAGGCAAAAATCCGTGATTGTATTTTAATATAGAAATGGAATCTTTGTTGAAATTCGATTGATTTGATACTTCCGCAGCTAGTGCTCGACCTTTCTGCAAAGTAGGATCCTCTTTGTACGGTAGAGGGAAATGGTTTTCGTGTTTATAATTATGGCGGACACCTGGATGCCTTTTGTTAACTTCTGCTATTTTTTCGTCGATAGCACTTTGTCCACTTTGAGGGTCAATTTTTACTTCTCGCGGTGTGTAGTCGTTATTATAAGACTTAACGTTATGCCATTTGTTACCTGCAGATAAACTTCTTGTATACATATCAGTCTTATCGTCCTTGTTCGAGTTAGAGTTACCAGAATTCTCAACAAAGTATTCTAACGACTTTAAAAATGGAAGAATAGACAGTAATTTATTTGTTTGTAATGTTAAGTCTGCTGTATTTTTTGGTTTTCTTGTATTTAACAGCTGCGGGCTGTAAGGATTTTCAGCGCTCTCATTACTTTCACCACTGGTCATTTCGGCATTTCTGTAAAATCTGCGTTCATGTTTCCTCTTTCGTATTCCTCTATTTGTGATTTCAACTTGTTTAGGTTGAGTTTGTGCATGTGTTTTTATAATGTGATGTCTTAAATCGTCCTCCAATATTTGTACATTAATTTGAGGACTTCTTTTGTTCGTATCAAACTGTTTTTCAACTAAATTTCTACGTTGGAATTGGAATGGTGGGCGGATTTTATTTATTTTGAACTCAGATGCGTAAGGAAAACTGTCAGATAGTTTTGTCAACGGGATAGTTTGCGGAACTTTCTTCTGTTCTCTGGTACGCTGTCGAATATTTTTAAGATAATTTAATACGCTGCCAGCGAATTTGGAACTAGTCCATTGACCATAAACTTTAGGATTCCTTTCTATAGGTGGCGGTGTTTCCATCTCAGATATTTCGTCCGGAAATTTTTTATTCACCGATGATTTACTGGGCTCCGTAACCACTCTAAATTTTGGACTGGTTCCCGGAGATGTTTCCTTTTCTAATGTCGTTGCAAAATATGTGAATTTTGATGGTGGTGGTGGTGGGGTTTCAAACTCAGATAACATGATTGGAAGATTGGTGCTGGATCCATTGTATGGGCTCTGAACTTTATCTGGAATGTTATATTTATCCGCATGCTCATTTTCACTTAAATTCCAAAACGACAGACCATCTGGTTGTTCGATTTTGTCTGGAAAGCCCAAAAATTCTTTAGGTACAACTGGTGCGGAAATTTTTTGAGTAGTAAGATCTGAACCAACGTCGTGACTAATAAAGCTGTGCGGTGTTCTAAATTTTATGAAACTTCTCGTTGCATTGGTGGTTGGCAATTGCGTAGTTTCGAAATTATTTTTCAGTTCACCAGTTTGTAAATCGCTCAAAACAATATAGTTCAAATGAGAGCTGCTGCTTTTCATTTTGTTTTTATGGAACTTCTTTTGTGCATAGTGAGGATCGTTCTTTATTGTATAATTTCTTTCTATAGTCGATGCCAATATCATGTTGGTTCCAAATATTTCTCCTTCTAATCCATTAGGAGCACCTGTAATTGAAAATGAATTAATTGATTAATGTTGTCCAACCTAGCATATGGTGTTGAATGTTACCTAGGATTAACTTAAACCACTTAAAAAGTAACTTACCATTTTCTGCTGTCCCATATCCAATAATCACGCTGCCACCAGAGGGTAGAACGTATCCAAGAAGCTGAAAAAGCAATATGAAATTTAAGACGCCTTACAAAATCATTTTTTCTCTAAGTTTGTGCACTAACCGGTTACTTAATAAGGTATTATTTAGCCTCAACCACTCGCTATACCTACGATAGAACTGTCTCTTCATGGATACTGGCATCAGCCTTGTCTGAACCTCTAGTTTCGTAATGTGTCTATGTCGATTTATCACATGTTTTATCTATATGCTAAATCGTGTCCGAAATGACCTCGGCCATCCGGATAAAGCTTTGCGGTCATTTGTCTTTCGGCTGACTAATTTATACATGCATTTTCGTGATCACATACTGAGTTAGTCGTGACCTTTATTATAACATTGAATTCTTGTTTATAACGTGTAACTACAGTCTATTGTTGGGGTCTTTAACGATTATAATTTACTTACGCTCTGTGATGCCTGGCAGGAGAGAAGGCGGGAGTCGACGTAGAGTGCCCACGCTCCGAAGTCCGCTTGGTAGGACAAGCAAACGTGTCGCCATACGTCCTTTGTAATATCCACGGCTGTGCTGGACGTCACCTTGCCATTGATCGACACGTTAATGTGCTTTCCTCCTGAATCCAACCACAACCTTACAACACGGTTGTTGCCATTCGCTAAAACATATATCCAGTTGCATTAATACTTTGTTAGAAAAAAACATTTATTGGACCGTGAAGTCGCCTATCGAGTGCACATAAATTATGTATGTCTCCATATTAGCCCTAATCACGCGCAATGAGTGTGTGTGTTACGAAATTTTGGTTTATCATGAACATTTGATTTTATTCTAGAATATTAAGGCCTATTAACACTGTTCCATTTACATTCGACAAATAATTAGCGAAGGTCTAATTCCTACCTACTTAAACGATGTTTATTATGGATATGAATATTCAAAATTTGAAATTGTTTCTTAACTAAGAACAATAAAATCACTGCAAGTAAATTTTATTGGTGATTTGACGTAAAGTTGAAATTAGCATAGCAAAAAGCTATAACGTAGTCACCCTACTCTGTTTATTGTAGTGTAAAACCCGACAGTGGTTAACGAGCACGCAGAGCGGGATACTTCACGACTGGATCAATTAGCAGCATTATAGTGATTGTTACATAACCACGTAGGAACCACAAAATATCTTGTATACCTATATATCTTAATGTAGAAAAATCAGAGTAACTAGTAAAAAATGTCAATAAATGCCTAAAGAATAACACTATGGCAATAGATTATAAATAAAAAAAATCGTTTTATACATATTGCTAAATTTAACTAGTAACAAAGCCTTGTAGAAATTCAAGAACATTTTTTAAATTGATATCCGAATCGACGGACGCGCTATCAGCAAATCGCCCTTGCTGCCAATCCTAACAAGGTGGTCCCACGTAGCCATAGACACAAAAAATTTAAAAAGTTACGCAACACTGGTCCTGCAAGCCAAGCATGTTCAGTTAAGGGGGTCAAATTAATTATGTTAACGCAATCTTTATTTGCTTATTACTTTGATTCTCTGGTTCCACCAAAAGTGGTTTACTTTCACGTGAACGACTTTTTTGCCGACCTTAATAAATAATAAAAAAATGCTACAGTTTTAACAGTTCATTTTTATCTACAGCCACTCACCGACGTATGTGAATATACTCTGATCACTGTTCAGTTCGTAAACGCGGATCCACGTGCATATTGTGAATTCTCTCAGCGGGGGCGTCTCAATATCGTATTGCAGAAACTGGAAGTTAATTCAGACCGTTAAAATCCACCTCTATATCTTTTATTTTCGTAAACAATTACTTCGAAAGTAAGAAATTCGCAAGCCAGCTTCTTTTATTTCATTGACAATGACAACATTTTTAAAGCAACATAACGCTGACTAACCTGCGCATATCCTTTTTGTTTGAGTACAATTTTATACACGGGCCTGTTGATCGTCAAACCAGTGCAAACAACACTCAAAAACACAATCAAATAAAACCACATCATTATTTAAATTGCTTAGAAACAACTAAACTATGTTAATATCGGAGAAGTCACACAGAATATACGAAACAACACAATATATGTTAAACTCTTTAAGTTCGTATAGCCAACAGTTTTTCTACACTTATTTAAATCCGATTTTAATCTCCCATTCTGAGGCAGAAGTGCTTTCTTTTGTAAAACAAGAGGTGGACTGACGGCTGCTTCTGCAGTTGAATGTCAATACATCGCCGTGATGTTTGTAAACCACAAAGCTATTTGTTTCAATACAATGTTGATAATTCAACTTGTAAATAATAATAATGACTATTATAATAAAATGTTCACAAAATGACACATGCCATGTTGCCATCTTGGGAAAGTTTATATTTAGATGTCCATTTAGTTAGCAACAAAGTCATTGTGGGGCTGACGGTCATAGGTGCTAGGTGCTCCTGGATTAAAACTATGTTCTATTTCTTCTATGAATTATAATCTATATTTTGAAAAATGTGTTCTTCTTTTTATAAGGAATTTTTGACTTTCCTAGTAATTCAATCAGGCGCTTCGTTACTGTATAAAAGTGGGGGTTCGGTACTGGTTTCCAAAATTGTTTTTCCTTATTTGGTCAAATGCTACTGTAGCCCCAAAATTTTGCTAAACTTTTTCTTATGAGGCCACTCTTTAATGGAACCACGGACGGTGGTTATAAGTTCAAGATGTCCTCCAGTAGTTTTCCTATTTCTTAATATATTCCCTGGAATTTGATTAGAAGGTTTATTGTGACTTTATATCTTAGTGGTACACATTCCCACCTCAAAGAGCTAATAGACCACCACAGATGGGGTCTTATAGGACTGATGTTTAGCCGGAATTGTGGGGTAAGCGGAATGAGGCACCGCGGCTTCGGCCTAGAGCAGGAGAAGGAACGGGAGGCTTTTAGTCAGTAAGAGTCTGACACTCCCTCTCGCCTTCCCACTGGGCGGGAGAAAGCATTTGATATTTTATCACTGAAAAAAAATTACACATTCCTCTTGTATTATTACTAGTATGTGTGTATACTTGTTTATAATGTTTCACACGTACGCAAAACCAAACACTATACTTTGTTTGACTAATCAATGAATCAAGCTTCATTAATGCTATAAACAAATGTTTATAGTTGTCCAGCAATTAAATTATGGTATTTTTCTATTGAGATGATATGTAAATATATAAAAACGCTGAGTTTTTTTGGAATAAGGAGCAAGCAATCGGAAGCAATCAGCGTCGCCCGTGGACACCGCCACCGGTCACACCCGAGGACTTTTAGCTAATATGCACCTAAGACTTTTCTTTTTGCGGTTGATAGCCAAAAGCAGTATTGACTGTATGTCTCTGGCTGGAGAAAAGATAGAAAAGAGAGAGGAGAAGTCTAGATTCGTGATTTTAATTTTTAATCTCAAACTAGAGAGTCATCATTGTGATGACTCATTGTCATTATTGTGACGACTCTACGGTCTTGCATTGTGAAATTTTATCATCTATTATTCTATCTTAAATAAAAAAGATTATTCAATTAGAACTAGTTTTGTATTTTAACGCGTTTAAAAAAGCGAATGAGCACGTTTCCTTAAATCTTAATTAGTCTAGATAAAAGCTATTAATCCGGACAATTTCGTATCGGTGATCGTACGAGGTGGTCGTGTGACCGCATCACTTTATTATATTAAATTTATTTACGAGAATATAATGCATCGGAAGCGCTTGGCGTGCCGCGGTAATTAGGTAGAAAGTAATGTGCCAGCGGCCCGGTAGACCAATCATAATTGCCTCTTTAATCGAAACAACCATATGGAAATTTATAAAATTAATCCTGAGGATGAGACATTTAATACGACCGGTGAAAATCCTAATAAATACTAAAGACATGGCATCGGCGACAGCAGCAATAATTGCAATAATGGTTTTAGGACACATTTAAAAAAGAAAACGTTACACATTTCAAAACTGCATGTTGTGCCCTTGACAACGTTGCTATACTTACATTGTTTTAAGGAATAACCGTAGCATTTTGTGATATATTGTACTTGAAATAAAAGTAATTTTATTATTTTCTTGCTAGAGGAAAAATATGTTTAATAAAGATTTTTATTGTTATAGGTAAAGGCGCCTGCTTACTACATCGGTGGGCAGCAACCGAGCACATTGCCGCGCGGGGGCTCCATGCTCCGAGCGTACTCGCCGGCCGCCCCGCCCGTGCCCGCTGACCGTGTCAAAACCCATTCCGCCTCAGGTGAGAATTCAAGGCTAACGTAACATACCAATTTAATAAACTTTATTCAAAACCAACAATAGCTACACTTGTTAATACGCAAGGAAACAAGCCAAATGTTCCCTTTGACATCTCGATGGGACTTCATATGGGCCTGGAGTAAGCAACATATCGTAAAGTAGTGGTTATAAAGCCCGGGACCATTTCGAGGTGTCTAAGTTAGGTAAAAGCGATGTTTGTAGGTCCTACTGTGCCGGCCAAGTCGTTGCGCACGTACATCCCGGGGAGTGGGTCAGAACGCTGTTTCCCCTTCGCTGCGGCTGATTGCACTCGGGGCCCAGAACAGCTGTACAAGATCCCCGGTAACCGGGCCCTCGCCCTAAGAAACACACTTTCGCTTCTAAACCTTAATTTGCCAATGCTTTCAACTAATATACTTAAATATTGTGCTAACGAACGCACCTTTGATTCGTTTCTAATTATTCCTCAAAATCTAATTGTCTACACCTTTCAGAAGATTAAGTTTGCATATGCCGCAGTAAGATAGGATATCAGGGCTTTCACAAAATCCCTAGGGATATTACGAACTCGCGGTAAATGTCGAATATTCTTGTTTACTACGTTTCCTTATTAAAATTATTCTGTGCACTAAGACCCTTACCGAGCTTGCGGGATTGTCTTAAATACATATTGAGTAAGGATGTGCTGCTATGTACTTCAATGCTAAACTTTTCCACAACAATTATTCAAGCCATTTACAGAGGTATTTTTTGAGCAGAGGAAAATAATATTATTTCTTCTCTAGCCCACGGGGAGGCGAGAGGAAGTGTTAGACTCTTACTGACTAAAAACCAATTCAATCTCCTGCCCTCCTGTCCTGTTGATCTTGGGCCGCGGTACATTAGGCCCAATTTTTCACAAGTGACGCCAACTTTAAAAGTTTTTGTTGCCTCATAATGTGAATCAAAGGTCGTAGCGTAGTTTTAAAAATTTAAGCATACATAGGGACATAGGGACTGGAAATGCAACATCGTTTTATTTTATACTTGGTAATTATTCTTTACACAATTTAGTTGAGTGAAATGATATGCTCATATATAATTATCTGGTTGCCATTTTTTGTTACATCATGACTATTATAGTAACAAGTTGTAGTAGACAAAAATATCCGACATCTACCCCAAGTCTCCATTATCGCTAGATATTTCGTTAAATCCCTGATATCTTAAATTCCTTGCCGCATAAACACGTTGTGTATGTGATCAAAATTTTTCCAAATTTCTCTATGTCCAATCACCCGCGTCCCCTGAGATGCTTCGTCGTTTTTAATACCTTCTAAAAGTGTTCTTTTACAAATGTATTGTGGATTCAGAGTCTGTTGTAAACCGTGCGAATTAATCACACAAAAGGTATTGTATGAGCTACTCGTTACCTAAATATATATTTACAATAGCCTAATAGGTACTCGCATTAAATCGTTATAGAAATATTTATTACAATCGCATGCTTTCATTACAATTCTATTTTAGCTTGAAATTTCAATTGGAATTATAAATATACACATCTAAACGAAACATTTAACATCACAGAAAGTTGCATATTATTATTAATTATCGTGTTTCTATGCCTGCACAGGCCATGCCGACGGGTACATGTCATCCCCCGAGCGCGGGGCTGCTAGGACCCCGTACGAGGACCCTTACTACTCGCAGTACCTCGGCACTGCTGCTGGGAGGCCCAACATCGCTCCCATTATCGACGAGGAGACCGGGTAAGCAGACGTTTACGAAACTATTAGATAAGACACACGAATGTGTTAAAATCGTGAGTCATTGATACGTTGCAGGCTGGTAATTACCGTTGTCTAAGTTTAGTATTTCGGTGACGTTTTGTTATATTCTACAGGGATACCGTTATCATCGAAGACGCATACCAAATGTATGGGAACCCCATAGCTGCAGCTCCGCGACCCATGCCTCGTCCTCTTTACGACGTCAGGTAACATAGAAAAAACGAATGTCATTCGTGTTGTGACCAAATGATCGAATAAGATCGCTAGCTAAGTTCTACACTGTAGAAATTCCCAATTGATTAATCGACTATACAACAAACATTTGCTATGCAATATTGTGGCCACAATATACAATTCAATAATTACAAAACATCTAGGTATCTATAAACAATATCAGTTATAATAATATTCTCTCGAAACAAAACAATAGCGATGCGAGTTTGCTTCAAGCGATTTCTTTATTTGAAAACAGATGAAGGATGCCATAAATCGGTATCTAAGCATCTGAGCGAAGCATAGACGGGATTTCTAATTATGAATTTGCAGGCCTCAATTGGATGACATGCAACGCCTGCGCGTTGAGAAGATGGAGAGGCAACTGGCCAATTTGACGGGGCTCGTGCAAAAAGCCTTGCAGGTTCCCAATCAGCCACCGGTGCCCCCTGCGGCCGTAGTCCCCCGAGCGGAGTATCAACCTTACCAAGTGCGCCCAGCAACGCAAGGTGAACACTTCAAACACTTATCGAGCATTCTTGACTAATCTTGTTTTGTGACTAGCAGACACCGAAGAAAAAATGTTATTTAACATAAATTCTAAAGCAGTTAAGCCATATTTCTTGCTGATAATGGACAGCAACCAAGTAAAGAAAACGGATTCCTAATCCCAAATAAATGAAATATCAATATATGTTATATGTATATATAAATACGCCAAATGGCTTTGTAGCTTTTAACTCAAAGCTTCGTCCGTTAATGTAGCTTGCGTTTTCCTGCACTCAGATGCGGCAAGATTTACCGGCAACGAGAGACCTCCTAAGTTAGGCAGAGATAAATTTCGTAAGTGTAATCGGAGGCGGTTAAAGAGTTTACGCTAATGCATTGCTAGTGTCGAGTGGAAAAAGAACTTTCTAGATCAAGTGAACACAAAGACGAACGTTAAACCAGCAACAAGGAAAAGAGCAATTTAAGAATAATAACTTGGAAAAGGTTAAGACGCTTTATTGTGGTTTCTTCACAATTTCCGATACTAGTTCCACCTAGGAACCTAGTATTTTGACGTCACGCTTAAGCCATAGGTAACGGAGAAAAATAAACCGCAAATTGTGGGTTCTACCACATTCCATTAGGTACCAACCGCGCAAATGCTATGGCAATGAGATGTTTCCGCACATCTTGCCACGTCAAACAGGGAAAGCGTCACTTTCACGCCGCCAATGTGTTAGACTAGTCGTCTGCCAAATGCCCAACAACGACATTCGCAATGCATTCAGCTAACTAAATCATTAACATGCCGATCGCTTGCTTGCTAAATCGAGTGGTACTGTTCTTATTTCAGCTTTCTAATAAAAAAATTAGGCTCAAGTGCATCTGTCTTGTATTATACATATCTTCGTTTTGAATAATTGGTCATCTCATCTACCTAATACATTGTACATTGTGAATCTTGACAAATCAGCTATCTTCCCATCAAAATGATGAGTTCATGAGTAATCAGGTAGTAAAGGCTTTATTCCGTAGATAAAATCATTGCTGGGATTGATTATGAGGTGCGCCGTATGTATGGTAGTTGTAGCCAGCCATCGTCTCGTGCTACGCGCGGAAATGTCAACTCTGCTCACTAACTACATCTCGTTCTGTTAATTTTGTAGAATTCGCAGTTTTCCTGAGTTGTACATATTGTTTGTGTCCATAGTATGCAATGTTTGGATTATTGATCTCTTTATTGTACAGTGTTATGATTTCTAACCACTCATTTGTCCCATACTGAAGAATGAATTTTACACAGAATGTTTTCTTTCAATTCGAATTTTATTTACCAATTTATTAATGTTTTCTTCTCATGTACAAATCCCCTTTGATATAGTATTTTGCACTTGAATTTGTATTTTAATTTCTTTTTACACACTTTACACCACTCAAAACACCTCAATTGGCCACTACGTTTTAAATCCATTCACAAAATTATCTCAGAAATCAATAATATGCACTCAGCCACTGATTCCGAATGATTCATTTTTATGTACAGTCTGTCCTTGTGGTTTAATCATAGGTTTGGTAACATCAATGCATCGTGGCAGATATACAAATAATTCGCTATTAAGCACTGAACATGCACTGACCAAATCAACATTTGTTATTTCAGAAAAATCTGTGTCATTTGAGAAATCCGTATCATTTAGCGATGATCCTCCTGATATGAGCTCGCCAAAGCAGCACTCACCTCAGCATACAGGTACGCATACAAACCATTATGTACTTTAATAAACCCTTGTTGCAAGTTGACTGCATTCTATTATTAGTCTACTAAAGTAGTTACATAATATGTAAGGGATAACTGAGCGATTAAACCTTCGGTGGTGGTTGCATAATTTAGATCTTCTGTCGTATGATTGTGCCATACTTAGTATCTACCGACACGAAGGTATCAAAAAAGTGTATTATTGCCTGTATCGTATGATTTTTAATCTATTTAATTAAACGTTTACATTGGTGTAACCCTATTGATGCTAACCTTTTTACACACAAGCCAAGTTCACATATTTTATTTCATTCAATAAATATGCCAGCAGTCAATCTGTATCAATATACCCCTATGTGTGATGAAATGGTTCCCCACATTATACATCGATAATTATTAAGGTCAGTTGTTAATTTTTATTTACCAGTTAGAATCATTATTATCATTGAGAACAGAATAGCCACATCCTCGGATTTCACATAGGCTTCTTTTAATTACTTTCGACAATGAAGAGAAAGTACATGTTTCATTGGCTTCGTAGTCAATGTGGTCACATCATCCTCAGAGTTGATAGAATCCTCTGCTGGTTATTTTTTTCTAATCACTATCACTAATGTCATAACCATGTTCATAATTCTTGTATTTGATTTCTTTCCGCTTACTTCTTTGCCATAACAAGCTGATTCCAAACCCACCAAACCGGCTATCAAATCTTCGACCTTGCCGAGGACGTCATCTCAAGGTAACTCTTTGATATCCATTGATATTTATGTTATTGTACTATAAATGTAATAACAAAGGTCTATAAATGCCAGTAGCTTTGAAATCATGCCGGTATTAATATAATGTATTTGAATAATTAATATTATTTGGTGGCGGATATCCGCGGTGCACTATGGACAGGAGAATCATAAGATAAAATGATGAATTTTAGAGGACACCAATATTAAGGTCCAACAAACACTTGATAAAGTTACAAGAAATGGCATTGTAATATCTGATACGTCATCGCTGCACAACAAAATTATTAATGTTGAAATATTTTAAATTCTGAATCAAAGTGCGCAGCTTTTCCATCCATTATCCATTCTTCTGTCCTTGTACATCAGCGTAAACAAGTTCATAGAAAAATAACGTTTACATCGTTTAACAAAAGCTTGGCAACAGCTTTGAATGATATTGTTCCATGGAAAACCAATTTGCTGGGGTAAAGCTAAAGCGATAAAAAAATCATGCTTGTATTGCATAGCTTTGTCAACACCTGTCGACTAGAAAATGTTTAATCCCTGGGTTGTCGCATGATTGTATTGCAGAACGCGATCGCCTGAAGCCGGCTCCTCCGCCAAAGCCCGCCGGTCTCGCTAGCCAGCAGCTGGCTCTGATACCCCAAAAGACCTGCACCATCAACGTATCGTCCGACTTCCCAGGACAACTGCGTCTGCTGCAGAAGCAAAGCCGTGATCTGCGCATTGAGGTATGTTGAGTGATGGAAAATTTTACGTATGCTAACGCGAACGAAAGCGACTGTGTTAGCTCTTAAGCGAAATTTTTGCTTTCAGCGAAATATTTTTCGTTATGTGCTGTTTGTTGTTAAAAGTGATAATTTGATTCGCAGACTCGTAATATGCGCCGTTCTACTCTGAGTCACGCCATGCAAATGAGGCAACTTATGGGCGACGCAATTGTGAAAATTGGAGCTATTGCTGAAAGCTTCTCCGAGCTTGACCCGAACTCTGTGCGTATACAAATCTTAAACTGTCACCCAAACGCTAATACTAGTAAGATTATTTTCTTCTAACCCTGCAAAAGACCTTACATCTATCATATTTCATGTATCGATCAGTTTAATTTCAGTCTTAATAAAATATTCGACTGTGCAGTCAAAGTTCAGATCTAATTTGAATCTGATGGTAACAAAGCCAATAGTATTTTTTTCTTATCTCCAATGCTTCTGATGATTACAGCAACTCTGCCGCGAGGAAGAGATTTATCGCCAGGACATGCTGCTCCTGGAGAATGACCTGTATGAGCTAGAGGCCACTGTCGAGCGTCTCCGTGGCCAAGCCGCTAACAGGTGATTACATAGTCACTTTTAGAAATTTTTGTTGACCGAGCTCCTAACAAACCATAGAAATTATCAAAAGGTTTTATGAATTTTACAGCAGTTCCATAGTAATCTATGGAATGAACTGGACCTGGCTTATGATCTTTGAGCTTGGTGCTGTAGTGGCTAGAGACGCCACGGCGACTACAGTACACTTTCCGTCTGACGCAATTACCTTATGTTTCTTATCCAACGGCCGTGTCGGCAGATACCTGTTTCAGATTCAATAGAAAAAAACCAAGAGTGGCGATACTGGCAATTTAAAGCCATTTGATGATTACAGCCATCAAAAAAATATTAACAATGGCTTTCTTAGTAATAGCATGAAGTCCAAAATTGGGCCTGGTGTAACCCGCCTCAGTAATTATAAAATTTGTCTGTCTCCTATTCACCTACCAGTAACGGTATTAGACGAATTGTCTAAATGCCTCATTTAAACATTTCCAGGGAGACTCGCGTGAACATGGCGGATATCGAGCGCATCGCCATGGTTCTCTCTAAGAGTAGCAAGACGGTTGCTGATTGGAAACTCAAGTTTCCTATCCTGCAGGACACGATGAAGACTAAGCTTGCTTCTGAGATGGAGAAGGTAATTTTATTGTTAGAAAAAGTCAAAATCAGTTGTGGTCATTTAATGATTGCCTCTAGTGAAGCTGTTTCTTGGAGCCAAATTCTGGATTTCTATTGAAAAGAATAAACAAGAAACTCTATTGTTACTCTTTCTCAACTAATTAGTGTAGTGCAACTTGTCGCAAACTTAATTCCTGCACGGAACAACTCTTTTTGTAATCTACAAATTGTTGTTACGGATCTGGGAGCAACTAAAGGAGAAAATCGTAGGATGGAGAAAAAAACCAAAACCATTTTCAATATTACTAGCATATTATTAAAATTAACAACGAGGATTTAACAAAAATACATTTATAAATCAATAAGACTAAATTGAACGGGAACACAAGTACAGCAGGTACAAAACGCACTATTAGTGCAAAAAATAAAAATTGAGAAATTACTACGGCACTGGACACCAAATTCATACACGGAACACCCAATTATGACATTAATTGACATCGCCATTACCCCTACATTGCACACTTTTGGAGCTCGGGAGTTTTCGGTTGGGGAAGGTTTGAAGATTTCCCTTTGTAATGAATCTATTCTATTAATGGAACTAAGAGTTGGTGCTGTCAATTCCAGGTGGTCCGCAAGGAAAAGATGCTTGAGGAAGAGCCGGAGCGCCTGGAGCTAGCTTTGCGCCGCTGCAAGAAACTGACTGGCACTCTGGTGACGCTGAAGCGGTAAGAGATGACGTATTAATCCTTTAAAATGTTATTATTATTGTTTTACATTTTAACATTTTACTGACAGCAGTGCCAATAATTCCAAATTAGGTTATGCCAATAACTTGAATTAACCGATATTTATGTATTTATGTAAATATTTCAGCCTTGCTTGCGTCCAAGAACAGCGCCTGCCGCTGACTGATGGTCGCATCTCTCCAGTGTCGTCTCAGAGCTCTTCGTTCACGGCCGGGCCATCATCCGAAGAATGCGCTTCGGAAAGCTCATGCCCTAATGCCGTCGCTCATAACAAGGTATTAGAAGAAATTTTCTTCTGAACACTACCCATAATATACAACGATCTTCCCAAAAAGGATACTTTGTGTTCCTTAAAATCCAGTGATAATGGTCCCCAGTAAAAGTAACAATCTTGTCCGACCTCCCTATTAACATAAAACGTTGAAACTTTGATATTTGCAGAAAAAATCAGCAGATACTCTTAGTTAAGATAATTCTAGTTGTTGATGCTCAAACTTATTAATAAACCATGCGCTTAACAATTGCAGGTTTGCCAAGAGTTATAAAATTTGCATTTTTTTCCAACACTTCGATTTATTTGCGAAGTGTTTGTTTTTGTTTTTATTTTGCTCTCACTTCACCCCTTAGCCTGGGTTTTGAACCCTGTAACATTTAAGGTTGATTTGAACTGCATGCGCCCCTATATCTTTCTTTCACAACAACTTGGCATGTTTTGTGCATCCGTTCTTTAGCGTATCCTAAGTCATCACTAACAAGCTGAATACAAAAGCTTATTTTATTTTTCATTTTTGATACAATCTTTTCCTTCACACTAGTCCATCTCGCATCGATATCCGATATATTTATTATATGTCCCGTGTATTCTGGGAGTTATCGAGTTACAATTGGCCTCAAAATTGACTTCGACGCAAATTTTTCAAAATCACCGAAGAACAAAATTGGCATACAAAATTTGTTAAATTATCGCATCCAAAAGTATTGCGACACACTCTGGTTTATATCATTATAAGAAAAATTTAGATCGACTCAAATCCAGCAACGTATAGCTACCAGCTCTGTTATTCCGAAAATGAGTTGAATCGAGAATGCCTTCTTAGAGATGCATCTGCAAAATCCGAGAATTTGGGGTTGGTTGGTTCACCTAAGTATTACCAATATTAAATGGAAATGAGATGAAAATTAAGCTGTTAGAAAATTAAAAAAGAAGCAAGGAGAAATTCTTCTTGCATTACTCTGAGAGAACCACAGACCGATATTTGTGACGACTTTTCTGTCCAAATACTTCAAGCCAAGTTACAAATATTCCATATAGGTATTTAAAATATTGTCTTTCCAATTATTCGTATCATATAACAATTTAATACAATTTGCATTGTATAACTTCTGCAAATTTCAATTAACACTGATACTGCACAGAAACGCACGTCCCGCTTTGAAATCACAAAATGTCTTCAAATATTTCAATAATAACAATTTAACTTTCGACACTGCACTTAACATGTTGCACTGCACAAATGTTTTATTTTCGATGAAGCTCCCAACATTTTTTTTACATTAAGTGTTATTTAAATCTATGGTGACATATGTATATTTACTTCGTGTGTTCGCCTTTGCTTTCTCAAAAGATGTTCCTTATAACCACAAGCTAGAAGATGACCAGACGAAAATAGATCCACTATTTTGATCATAATGTCGACAACAAAAAATATTACCTATTATTTAAGGTTTCTTAAATGGCTTAAAACTATGTAACCAACGCAGCTTAGAGTATATTGTCAAAAAATCATAGACAGCCTGCTCTGTATCATCTGTTAAGGACAAATGTATGTGGTCTATAGTACATACCAATGTCCTACTTTCAAATTTGTCTGGTACATAGCTGCTATTCAGTGAATTTAAAACAGGACCTTATTCTGTTAGACTAATCTGTTTTTCATATTCCCTTTCATTTCAATAGGAATGTATGACAGTTCGTTTTGTTTTAATTTTTGTTATCTGCTCAGGTCTAATCTACGAAAGTTGGCCAGCTTTGTCGGCACCCATGAATTTGGTCTATGCTTAATCCCTCGCCAAAGCACTCCTAACACCAACTCTTTTCAGCAATCTCACATTTACGAACAGTGTGGTGTTATTCACACATGTACATATATATAAACCCTGTAAATCATGGATCCTTTTATAATCATGGTTTTATATAATACCTGTTCTACACAAATCTGTAATGAGATCTACTGACTTAATATTATCAGCATACAGCCGCTTGCAATGACATAGGTAAGAAGAAAGTAGATTGATGTTAAGTTACAACATGAGGTAAATTATTTAAAATATGTTTATATGACTGGCACAGCAATTTAGGAGACACAGGTATTCAGTTTATTTGAATTGGGTAATACAATGAACATCCATGGTAAGTATAATAAGACAGAGTGTGACGTGATATTACAGAATACAACGAACCTTGAAATTTTTTGCACACATCCCTGCAACTAATGCACGATCCGTAAACGTTGCGTTTTATAATCCTTGCTTTCGGAAAATAATGCCAATTTTAACAATAATGTCAACCATATCCAACATTTAGATGGACCTGCCACTCACAGCCACGCCCAAAAGCGTCAGCCAAACTTGATTGTATGTACAAACAGATATAAAAGTATCAAGTGAATAGGTAGTTGTGGTCCCGTATTGTAAGTTCCTATATATAACTATTTTATATTATGATCATACCTATATACGTATTTGTGGTCCAACGAGAGTTACCCAAGGGGTTAGGAAACTTAAAATAATTGCACCTATTATAGTGCCCTGAGGAACACCTTAAAAGTTATTACTAATCTTTTAAGTTAAAGATAGTAACGTTAAGCTACATACAAAATTGATACAAAAAGCAAAGGCAAAAGCTGATCCCGATTAAAAAAAAAAATATGAAGTGATAAAAATATGATACCATTTTCTGTCAAAGATTATCAAAAGCTTTATGCAAAACTATGAATACTTGAAATTACAAGCCATTGAAAATATTTACAATTTGTTCAAACAATTAAGCAAAGTAACAACTGCCTCGTTGGATCACTTCATAGTAGTCATATTGTATCATACGTACATATGCATATAACTGAGAGTTCTCTTCATCGGCAAGGTCGCTACCAGTAGGCACAAGGTACGAGACAGGCTACATTGCCAGGTCAAAGCAGTTGAGACTAATGCCAGCCAATACGCCACCCATATGCGCCTTATCTCTTATACATTACAAACTTTTTATGTTGTGTCATTACCAAATTGTTTTAACAATGGATTTCATGGTCTTTTTTCCGTGATGGTACGCGGCAGTTCGCATGGAGAGAGAGTCTTAACTTCAAGGAAGCTATTGTTGTTAACGAGTAATAAAATCTCTTCATAATACTATAATTATCCATTATTATTCATAAATACGTTTAAATTATTTATTTCTATATTTTATTCTACATCTGTAATTTTACTTTATTATTATATTTTATTTTTAATATATTCCATCGTCTATTTTTATATAATTTTATAACAAATCTTTGCTTTATTATCTCTGTAGGCATGTTAATGCACTAAATTTATAACTCCGCTTAAGAAATACAACTTTGTCCAAATTCGCTTGATTGACAAATATACAGGGTTAAACGTAAAGTCTGCCTAGATCCTTTGAGAAGCTATGGTAGGCATCATTTCTGAATGATTTCAATTATAAGACCTCAACGAAAACCAGCTTTTAAGTTCTCTAAAATGAAACCTTTCCGTCCAATTTTGCTTCTTTTTATCAAGAAATATCAAAAACGCGGTTCAAATTGTTTCTGAAAATAGCACTGTAATTAAAATTATCAGTATAGTTTGGTCGTAGGACCTGTGACGTATTCTGAATAAAGGTTTGGCCAGAAATAAATTGGAGAACGTAAAAACGGTATTTAAAAAATGAGTTCTTATCTGCTAACAGTTCGGAAAGATTCCTACTACAGAACCTTAAAGGATCAAATCTGACTTAACCTGTAACCCTGTTTATTGTATATTGGAAAAAAACTTATAGATTTTTTTAAATATTTTTTCCAGTTCGAACAGTTTTGAAAAAATCGGTACGCATGCTTACAATACTAATAAAAGTAAATGGAACTATAAATCTGGGTTAATTATAATAATTGATAATTAAAGTTTAACGATATCTTTGGAGCGGATTTGTACGATTTGATAACAACGAAGCATGGTTTATAGTTAACCAAAGGTTCCGCTTTAATAGATATTAGTTGAATTTTAACGTAAGAAAAAGTCACTCGGGCCGATTGCTAGTAAGCCGACAACTTTTAACTGAATTATCTATTGTCATAGTTGTGTGATTAAATGTCTCGAAATTCGGTTAAAAGTTGATTTAAAATTTTACTAAAATTTCATTTTAAATCTTAAAATTTAATATTCGAAAACTAAATTTGAATTGGGCCTACTATAATGGAATGCAGAAAGATACTTGGGATGTTGGAAATTATGTAATTAATTGAAATTATATAAGGGACAAATTCTTTCAACTTTTCAATTTGGTCCTATTGATGTCACCGTTACAATTTTGGCTATACACAGTAGTTAATATTGAACATCTTCGATACGCTCTGAAGATTAAACAGGTTCTTGTACATTCCAGGTGTCTTCTATAAAATTCTATCTAATTGGACTAAACGTTGTCGCACGTCGCATGCCAGTAGACTGTGCTGTACATTCATGAGCAATGAAATTGACTTCTTTTATCCAATAAATGGCGTTTGCATCAGTGATCCACGAGGATCCATGCCAAGCCAAGGTTACTAAGGCGCAAGAATTATGACTGTGTGGTTTTAAGTCACTAATGATATGGCACTATTATTGGGAGGCGGAATTTTAAGAGTATCCCTCTTCAAAAAATTATTAAATAAATGTCGTAGCCAAAAACAATGACCGCATTTTTGACTTCAAAGTAAAATATTAGTATAAAGAAGAATGACAGTACAAAGATAGATATAGAAAGGGAATAAAATTGCATTACTCATGATTGTACCAACAGTTACTACATCTAATTAAAATTGAAATAATTGGTTACAAGCTTATATTGTGTGTTAACAGATCCTAAATAAAACAGAATAATCAATTGGTACGCATTAAAGAGTGATTACTTAAATCGGCTAGTGTTGGAATTTAGAATCAGATTCTTGCTAAGCTTTTGCTTCATAATTTTATTAACCTATGGCAATCACCGAGCACTTTTCAAAAGTATGGTCCTAAATGAGGATCGAGGATCTGTGGTAACCAAGAATACTTAACATCTCTAAGTATTCGAATGCTGACCTTTACCTTAATAAATCGAGATTCGGAAAATAGAACGAGAGACAAAAAAATAAAGGTTTAAGGCCAGGAAGCCAGCATACCCACCATCTGACCATAGGAAATAAATTAGCCAAAGGACTTATAATATGCTTTGGCTGTTCTTTTCGGGATTGGTAAATTAGAGATATGATAATTTAAAATTTGGAGATGGAGACCGAGCTGGTAGTATCGGTCCGGTCCAGCCAGCCTCTCCGTGCCAAAGGATGGCACGAATCCTATAATTTTTAACTAGCTACTTGAGGCATTCCATCCACATTTTCGAAGGTTATGCCTTTTCTTCAGAAAAAACATCTTTTTCAAACACTTACGCAAGTAAGAAAGACAGAATCACACTTTAAATAGTCGTCTTGAGCAAGAGCGATTTCCTATAACCCATTTTTAGCGTTAAAAACCATTTTTCATTTCTTAAACAAAACCTAATAAAGTTTTTGTAGATGTCGCTAGTCGAATACCAATACTTGGCCGTTTTAAGTCTGTATTCGTTATAAGTTAAATATATCTCCGAGTTCAAAGGTCCTGTTAACATTCAAATAAAAATTGACAAAAGTTGAATAATTAATATCACCTTGTTTGGAAATTCACAAAAATTGAAGTGTTACGTTACACGAAGCACAAAAGTTAAACGTACGTGTGTTCATATTTCTCTCATTTCTTTGTTATTTCTTTATATATTTTATTTCGATGATTTCCTTTGTTTTCGTTTTTCGATTCGTAGTAACATCATTATGTCTGTGTGTCGCGAAATATGAACACAGCGTCGTTGTCAATAGATAATGTAACAAGCATGTTGTAATTTACTGTAGTGGCTTTTAAAAACAATAGTTTGTGCATCTTGCTGTTTTCTATTTTGTTGCAGCGCATTGTCGATATCAGGAGCAGCTCACAGCCAGATTCTTCCGGACATGAATGAATTGCCTTACACAACACTCCATCACTCTCCTTCCTTCTACTAACCCTCGACGTGACTTCCATCTTCATTGTTTCTCTCTGACACGTTCCAATATCTGTTTTGATTTCTTAAATATTTCTAATTATTGAAGATACATTGTGCTCCTCCCAAACCCCTCTGAAAGTCTATCCCTTATTGATAAACTAGTTAAATTATTGTATTGCTAAACACACTTCGATGGAGCACAGGTAATTATGATTTGGAAAAATTGTATTCGCTTCAATATACTTAGGTAGGTACGTTGAAATAATAATAATAAATAATAAGTATAATTAATTAACACCATTTGCACACAATGGTAATGTTTTGATCATACTTAGTAGCGGTTGCAATTATTCCACTTTGAGCTTTTCATAGATTAGTTTTTAATTAAAATGTCAATCTGACATAGCTTCATTTAGTAGGTAGTATACTGTTACGGCTAAATAAGTAATATTATCCAATATATAATTATATATCTTACCAGTGATGTGTATAATGCCGACATTCTGTACAATACGTTGACGATGTTTGAAATACCTCTGCAATGTACTAAGAACTTCATTTTACTGCCTGATACGTAATGGGCAACGAAGTTTGATTTCGAAAATTTGTATAATTACTTAATTGCCTATACAATATTGCTGTTTTCATAATTTATTAGGTAAGGTTTGTCTACATATAAAAGGTGACTAAATGGTAACCAAACTATTGAATTTAATTGCAACGTTTTTCTGACTTCTCAACTAAAGAAAACAGACGGAGACAATAGTTTTTAAATTTCACCGATTTGCCCAGAGAAAAAACATTTTAATAATAGGTTTATCATAAAGAATTAAACACGACCGGCCAGAAAACCAGCGTGAAACAACGACTGGCAACGAACTTATAACTCATCTGGTGTTGTGGGTAATCTGTTTTTCATATTTGACGACCCACGATATAAAAAACACAACTAAATGTTTAAAAAAAAAGTAAAACTAGAGCAATATCCGTTGCATGATGAAAATAAAATATATGAACAGACAGACAAGGCTGTGATGTGATTGATGAGTAGGTAATAGTAATAATTATAACATACATAGATAGATAATCAGTCCTCCCAACAAGTTTGGTTTCAATATAATCATTATATTTTTAGAATAAATATGTTTCTAAAAGCGATAACGATTATCACAGCAGATTTTGTTTCACCAATGTACGGAAACTCGTTTTGTTGACAACGTGGCGTACATACAGTCTTGAGTAATGTCCATAACATCTTGTTGTAACATTTGTTAAGCGATAATGATTATCGATGTTGAACTTGGCTAAGAAGGCTGCTTATCTACATATCTATGTATCTTTATACAGTTATCATTATTACTATTAAGTACTCATCAATTATATTAAAGTCTTGTCTGTATTTTTATACATTTTTTTATTTTAATGAAGCATAATTATGTTGTTTACGATACCATAGTAGGACTGACGTTTTAGTTACCATTGTACGCATCTTTTACAAAAATGTCGGCTCTGCATTCGCTTTACAATAGAATGCTTACTGCTTAGCCATAGTCAGTTATTAAGGTATTTCATACACATTGACGCGTATTGTATAGAATACCAAATTATACGGATTACCGGTAACATATTATATACTTTACAATTTTGTTTTACTAATGGCAAAATCATCACAATTGTTAAGAGTAAAAACGTCTTCGATATTTTCAAATTTGTTCACTTTCCGTATTGAGTCGTTAAATAAACTCGTGGCACTATATGCCACAATTTACCTATATAACTATATGTATATGTATCTCTAATAATTATCAAATCTTACTTCCTTACCTATTAATCTATACGTTCCAAAGTTATTCCACCACGTTTCGGTTTTACTTCCCACTAGTTATAGGCAGCTCGTCTATACTTCCTTTTCGTTTTTGTCGTCGAATAAAACATTGCATTACAATAAAATTTTGTTTGATATTCTGTAAATTAAAGAACTATTTGAATTATACTTGTTGTCGAAGTTTATGTAGGTAAGTATAATATTTTTATACGTTACCTATTCGACGACAAAGACGGAAGGCATTCGCCTTTTTCGTTACTATTTTATTATTTTTGAATGATTGTGGTCGCATTCAGACATAGTATTGTCTTATTCTAAGTGTCTTCAATGGACTGAATGCGGTGTTAAATGTTTTGAATCAGTGTTTTTATGTCTTAATAAAAGTGCGGTTGCAATGTGCTTTCTAATGTTACATGTTAGCTGAATGTTCGTTTAAGTAATAAACCATAAAGTTTAGGGCATACTCGCAACCGCTCTTTTATAATGTCTGTTGGAGATCGGCGAGCACAGCTAGAAGTGCGTGGAATGGTGCGCAGGGCACCGGCGGCGTGTGCGTCGGGCGAGGAGGAGCGAGCCGGGGAGCGGACGTGCGGCCAGAAAACGCCCTCGATGCGCTACTAGACGAGCTGCAGACGTTCGCGAAGCCGGCGGAGCGCGGCGGGCGCGGCGAGGGACCCCTGCGGCGCCTGCACTCGTACCCCAGCGGCAGCGACACGGACGCGTCGCCGCCCGTGCGTGCGCGCGGCCAGCACCCCCCCAAGCCGCCCGTGCCCGAGCGCCACCCCGAGCTGCTGGCGATGGCCGCGCGCCGCGCGCCGCCCCCGCCGCCGCCGCGCACCACCTCGCGCTCGCCGCTCGCCTCGCCCACTTCGCCCGCTTCGCCGCCTCGCTGCGATCCCGACCCCTGCCTTCTAACCCTGCACCCCTCCGAAACTTCTGACGACGACAAGGCCACCAGTCGAAACACACCCCTTGAACAACGACACCAAGAGCTGCTGAAGAAGCAAAAGGCGCTGCAAGAACAATACGCAAGGCTGCAAATGATACAACGGAGCGGCCCCACGTTGCCACCCAACGCACAGCCTGACCTCAAAAAGACGGGCAGCGAGTCCAACTTGCTGAGCAAGATGAACTTGAACATAGCGCCAGCTGCATCCGGCAGCATGACGCACCTAGCCGGCGACCAGGAACGTCGCGCCGATGGAACGCTGGCCACCGAGCAGGGCAGGCTGCCCGACACTGTGGCCACTACTAATAAGGTTTACGAGACTGACATACTGTGACCTTGTAGTCGATGCTTCATATCTGTTTAAGAGAGATCACGCGCATCATGCGACGAGCACGTCGCGCCCCGGCGCACGGGTCTATCAGTATTTGAATAATCGAGTCGCCGCCGGCCGCGCCCGGCTGGCCGCGCGCCGCACCGCCCGCCAGCGTAGGCACCGACTACACAATGCGCGAGGGCTCCTATTTATACATAATATTGTTAGTAATTAATTGTACTTAGTTTTTTTACGTTAGGTACATGAAGTTTGCTAATTTCTACTACATTCGTTACCCTCTTTCACACCTGTCGTCATTTAGTTTGTGTCCCGCATGCTTTTTCCCAAAACGACGACTTTCAAGCAAGTTCAATGGAAAAATGAAATATTTTAAAATATTGGTATAACTAATTGATTATCAAAATAACAAAAAAAAAACAAAGTTATTAACTTATAGGAACACTATATAATCATTATAATGAATGTGTAGCCAGTAATAATAATAATAATACATGATAGAAATAATCACGTGCACACTGCTCTATCTTGCATGTTTGATGTCGTTCTATGCGCAGTTACCTATGTACCGATCAGTCCCAGACCTCGTCTTCTTCTCACTGAACCCACACAAATCACTATAATAGTAAATGTGTCCTCTAATTTAGCTGGTGAACCTTTTTGAGCGACTAACACTAAAACTCCTGTGTATGTATCCGAGTGCCAAAATTTCTATTCTGCTCTTAACACTTCGTTTTCGGAAATAAGCAACGATATTTAAAATTATACATAAATCGAATTCGAGTACCTACGAGATTCATATTTATGAAAAGATCTTTGTTTAATTGTATCGAGAGAAAACCAATGAAATAATAACAATGGGCCACAAACTGTCCTGAAAAATCTCCTTTGCTGACTGAAGTCCTTTAGCCAGAATGATATTAACACAAAAAATAAAAATAATTATGTTTCTACGGAGGTCTGAACACTTATAAAAATGGTTCCTCGACACGCCATTGCATACAACGAAACTGTTTGTTGTATTCTACTAATATGATACAAAATTACATTCTACTATTTAGGAAACTATTTAATATTCTTGACGGCTCATTAAAAGATATATATACCTAATTATGTATATTTGGAATATATTAATCGACTGTGATAAGAAAAAGTTACCTAATTTAAATGCATAAGAATTGAATTTTTAATACTTACATCCTATAATAATATCGTGGCTAATTTCCTAACTAATATTTATTTGTATGTCCGTACGTTACCGTCTTCGCTACGATTTTTTATAAACGACTCGATACTCGCAACCGTCAACAATATTAGATAATCATGGAACAGACACACTTACTGTAGGTAAGACGAAACCTTATATTATGTTCATATTATATTTGTCAAAATTAGCGAAAAAATTAAAAATCTTCTAAATTGAATATAATGATTATTGTTGTATAAAATTACCTTATTTTTAGATTCGAATTATATCCTACATTAGAATGATGTAATAGTTTTAGGTCTTTAGTCGTAGATATACAGGGTGACTGGATTTGGACCTGCCATAGCAAATTCTCATATACAGGAGGTCATTTTACAAATTATTGTTGATTTCTTTTAACGATTTATTTATAATATTTTTTGAGAGACTACTAAAGTTTGACTGACCTTCATGCGTTAAATATTTATGTTAATTATTGTTTATAATTATTATTTACAATATTCTTTAAAATATTCTTAATAAAGTGCCAAAATCCTTTATAATAAATACGGATGGAACTTACATTCCAACTACCTACAACGAAAATAACATAAACTTTTTGTTGTAACTTAGGGACATTTTCGAATTGAATTATTTCTATGACCTATGTAAAATTAAATGAAATATGACATTATTTCCTCCCCTGAACTATGGATCTTCACTCAATTTTTGTATGTGTAAGCATATTATATGAAATTGCTATGTCGTATCCAAATTCAGTCACACTACATATATTACTCATTCGTAATCAATCTTCGTGCTCTTCCAAGGTTCGTTGCTAAATAACACATAAATACAAGCACTGGAAACTCAACAAAAATATTTCCTTTCAAAAAGAAAAAAGCTATTGTTTATAAACATATGGAATGTAAATTGATTATAATTTATCGCTTTTTGAGCCTAAATAAATCACTATACTTAAAATGCATTGAAATAGCAAAAAAAAAAATGTGTAGAAAAATATTATAAGGTGCTAAAATACTTTTTGGTTTTAGGAACATGCTTTGTATGAAAACTGGGTGAAAGTACTTAGTCCAAAAATGTTACTGTTGAATTTTAAACTAGTAAACAACATTTTCAAGGTGGCTGAATTATTTTAATATGACACCAGGCCTTTTTATCTGACAGATGATCGGCGATCAGTAGATGATGGTCTCCTTGCAATTCGAGCAAAGCTCATAGGTAATATTATTATTTTATTTAATACCGTTGACAAAGACTTACCTTTTAAAAAGAGGTTTGTCATAATTATTTTACAAAAGAGTTGAATAATGTAAATTATTGATGGCTGTATGAAAATTGTCGCATATTTTTTTATTAGGCTCGCAGGTCAATACACCGTATGTTCCTAAAGTCACAAAAGTTTTAGCACTGAATGTATTAAAATTTCGAAAAATAAGCTTAGTCATTGTAAACGTATCTATGATTAGGTAGGACATTAAGGAATTGTCTTAATTTCTTCAAATATAAAAAATATATTATTATTATTATTTTACATTTTATTTACGGTACGTGCCAAATCGTCGCTTCTTTTACATTCGTAAGTATTTTTCTAGTATTTTTACTTACTTAGTTCATTTAACCATTTTTGATGATGTTTAAAGAAAAAAAAACTGACATGTTTTATAGCTATTTATAATAATTTAAATCTTTTGTAGATTATGAATGGTTATCTGCGAATGATTTTAGCTTAAAGCAAACTTATGATAATCTATTGTTAATATAATTAATTATGATTAAGCACGATTTGTTTAGTTTTAATAAAAAAATCATGTTAATTGTGTAATAGTTAAATCAAGATAGCTTGAAAATGTTTTAATGTGAAATAAATAAAGAAAGTTAAAATTGGTTTTATTAATTTATAATTAATCCTTGAAATACTAATTCGTTAAATAAAATCGTATTCTGTAGAACCATTTTGAATGTTTGCCATGCATTCAAATGATACGGCCTCGCAGTTTACCTGCGTGAAACAACCACAGTGTTGTATTTCGCTATGTTTTAGGTTACCGGAGTCCCAATTCTACCCCTCCCACAATCTTCAAAAACCCTAACCCCCAAAAGGCTGGCAACACACTTGTAACTCGTCCGGTTTGACGGGTATCAATAGGCCAGGCCGAAAAATACTTTCTCTCTTGAATCTTTGTCTACGGTATTTTAAAACTTACTAGGTATGTTACGAAGCCCTGTAAGTTCGTAATAGATGATCCAATGTATTAAAACTTCCTACCGACTTGACTTGACAAGTAAGGAATAAATAAAGCTGCACTTTATTGTACAGTTTTCTACTTTAATTAAGAACAGCGACATCTGTATTTTGAGACGTGCATTCCATATAGACAAGTACCTACCTACTAACGTCATTTCATTCGGAAATTTATAATGGTACCTAGCTTTTTCCCGCGTCTTTCTATTTCAGGAATTCAATATAGGTACTTACTTTTAATAGAGTTTGAAGATTTTTGACGATGAGCCCTCCTGTTTAATAGGCAGTTATCACAAACATACCTGTCGACCAAATCTTATTGGTGTATGTAAAAGTGTTTGTTAACATTAAATCAAAGCCAAAGTCGCTAATGAAATTGCAGCTTTATGTCCTCGACCTAGGGACCAAAAGCCAAAAAGGAAGAATGAAAATAAAGGAATGTAAAAATAATAAAACAAGCTGTCAATTATTTTTTATTAACATCTTTTGGGGGTAGGTACATAAATAAAACTTTCATTTTCATACACAGACATTTATTGAAAAAAACTTAAATATGAAATTATTATGACTGACTGGATAAATGGTTCCACATTAATAAAACTAATAATAATTAGATAAATTATAAATAGCTACGATCACTAAATATACACTAAAACTTCAGCTTTGGTTGTTTCATCAATCACGCGTCCGATTTGTAAAACTGTGAAAGAAAAATAATAGTAATTATTGGGTAGGTATACAATAACTTAAAAATATAGGGTAAAATGTGGTGTGTTTATGTTTGCGTCAATGTGTTTTTGCCAGATTATAATCTACCACAGTGGCTAATTTCCATTTTAAACAGTAGTTAATGTTTTATATTTTGGTATAATTTCCTAATTGATTGCCATATACCTACAGTCAAATGAACATCGCACTCCTAGTGAAGGCCACATTCAAGAGACTAACACCCGGTTACTGAAAGGCTTGTCAACGCTAAAATTAACTAATTTCCTGTTAAATCTCTTGTCAAGTCATCTGATTGGTTGTTGATAATTCAATCAGATGACTTGACAAGAGATTAAATTGATTTTAAAATTGATCGGCCTTTCGGAAACCGGGGCTTATTCTAATATTAATTTTTTTACAAAGATGGAAAGATGAGCACAAGACAATCATTTTTATTATAACTTTCGTGAGACATCTCACGTAATGCAGTCAGTAGTAGCGCGACGGACGCCGCGTCACATGTCACGGAATGCTGCTCATGAATATGGGCCTCTAGTATGGCTTGAAAATAGTCGAGTATCTTGTCAAACAATTACGTGATTAAGCCGCAAACATATAATTAATTGTTACAATGAGTTAATGTTTTTGAAATAGTAATGTTTGGCTTTTATTTAATTGTGCTTGTAAAATATTAATTTATCTGGTATTTTTTTAGTATTTTACTAGTGTTATAGACTGGCATTTAACCAAATATTTCCAAATTCAAAAATATTTGAAATAAAGGAGAAAATGAAGTAAGAATCTATTAGGTACTGAAACTAGAAGAAATAATACTGATTGGTAATCCACAAGCTTTTAAATAAACATTAGAAAAATAAGTTCATGCACTCTCAAAGAATATTTATCATTATCTAGGGTCACCTAAGACCCAAAGTATGGCAATAGATCTAACCTTATGAAATCGGAATCTCAACCAATTGTGTTGAGGAAGTCAAACGGTCAGGCGCTCCGCATAATATATTCACATTTATCCGCATCTGGTTAAAATTGGAAAAATACACTTGTAGGTAAATATTATACAAAAAACATGTTGGAAATAAACTAACAATCTTTAGTTTCTCATGCGAAAAACTAACTGTACCGGATGACTTCCACATAAAATTTAAAGATAGTTACTTTTCTAGGATATGATTTTTTACTCTTTGATCTGTGATGTTATAAGTTCCATAAACTAGATGGCGACTCTTTAGTACTTCGAAAGCCAGGTGCCAAATACTGCGTTCACTACAAAAAATCTGAGAACTTTCGAAAATTCCACAATATCTTCAGGAAACTATAGGAGTATTAATAGGTACATTATTAGTTCGAATTGACAGATCGTAGGTCGTCATCGTCATCTACGGTATCTACGTACCTTTTTTCTCAGTTTGATGTTTCTTCTATCAATGTACTCTTGAAGTGCCAGGTAAATGAACCTATACTGCATTTTGTTTTGCACCATACCGTTGCGCTGCGCCCTCACTAGCTTCACCGTGGAATGGACGTCGATGTCACAATTAAAACCTTAAAATAACAATCTCACATAAGACCATGAAAAACAACACTAAATTGAGAACAATCGCCATGGAAGAAACATAGAAAAAATATTATTCGCATAGAGTTAAACAATAGCAAACGCAAACAAAGTTAGGAAATTCGCATTGCATTTCACTTAAAAAGAAGGGCATAAGGATCATAATAGAGTGTTTAATCTCACCAGATGTTTTTATTCTATCGATTAACATGTCCAGAACTATGAATGTGCCCGTCCTGCCGACGCCAGCGGAGCAATGCACGCAGAGGATGTTCTGAAAAGTTAGTCTTAATATTTTAGCACCTGTATGAAATGGCAACACGAGATAGGACAAGAAGAAAAAAGGCTACACTTCTTTTATTGAAGGTATTTGTAGACGATTTTCTATCTTCCTGACCTGCTGTCTTATAGTGGACGGAATACCTATAGCAGGCTAGTGATAATGGCGAAATGGTAAAGATTAACTTTAAACAAATTAAAAATGTTTCAATTCGAAAGAGTAAATAAATCATTTCAGGAAGCGAAAATGGATTGTTTGTTTTGAATCTTTTCTTTCTATTAGATATGTGGGTACGTGGCTCAGTAGGATTCCGATATAATGACTGAGAAGATAATAGTAAAACTTAGATATATTAACATAAATTGCATCTAATCGTTTTTTGAATGTGGGAAAATCCGTTGCAACGGTATGGATATTACCATATGGCATTAAGTCCACTATAAGTACAAACTTAAATTTCATTTTATGTAGGTACAATGTACATACAAGTCTAAAACTACTTTCGAAAGAGGAACATTATTCTACCTGGTCTGGAGCATCAGCTTCTTGGGAATTCTTAATCATACGTCGGTTGATGTCATCTATGAAGGACAGCACTCCATCAGGATCACCAGGTGTACCGTGGTCAGGCCAAGCCTTGAAACACATTGTATATTAGTAAGGTGTAATTCAAAATCAGAGCGCCTATTGTGAGTTTGGTTTATGTTTACGCTATTGTTACGTCATCGTGTCAAGCTCGCTGATTGATCGGTTGACTGGCCAATCAGAACGCCGAACGTCATAAACGTGTCGAAGTAACAAATTCAAACGAACTCGCGTCGTGCTTTGAGAGAGTGAGTTTCAATATTTTTGTAAAAAGGTATAACACGTTTAGAAGAACCTTGAATAAATTAATTAATAATGATTAGTTTCGTATTAGGAGGACAAAACAAAAGACTTACAGTGAACTGGTATTGGAAGACCGTTCGGCAGCTTTTGTCATTGCTGACATCAAACTCCCGAAGTAGGTATTCTTCATAATGTGTCTCTGACATGGACTTCACGGTAAGACCATCGAACCGCTCCTCATGTCCAGACAACGGCCAATACCTTTCACACTTTTTCTGCAAACAGGTCATAAAATTATGTCACTTAAGTATTAAAACAAAGAACCAGAACCTAATTATCATTAATAGTGGTTATAGCAGAGAAAAAACAGCCAAATTAAAGTAAAACACTAGTCTCTCCGTGAATTCATGGGAACCGACTCAGCGACACCCACATGACCAGTAGCATTGACAGAGCAGAGACCGAGTATATCGAAAGATCGAGTAACATCGTTTTGTAGTACAGTTACGCCTCCAGATCCTAAGTCGGTAATCCGACAAGGATTCACTGCCTCCCCAGAGATCTCGTGAGTCCAACGGATAGAGCAAAATTGGAGGGCATTTGCATTTTTGAAACGTAGGTATGTCAAACTGTCTTAAGCAGATGAGGTACTTTTGACGTTTGAACTAGACAGCGAATGCCTATGGACATCGCTTATTGCTTATCATACGTCTATTCATTGAATAAACATTGTAATTACTGTAGGAGAGCTAAGCTTCAGAAATAGCCATAGAAATACCACGGCCTCATAGAAAACCGGTGTGAAAACCACAGCGTTGTATTTCGCCGTGTGAGTAATGTTTTTCCCTTTCCCTATCCCTTCACAATTCTTAAATATCCGAAACCCATATCCCCAAAACGCTGGCGACGCAATCGTCCTTTGGTGATGTGGGTGTCCAAGGGCTGCGCCGATTGCTTACCTACAGGTAATCCATCTGCTAATTTGCCGACCTATCGCATACAATATATATATTTGACAATATGAGTAACACGTACCTTGCCGTTTTCCACTTCGTTAGTGATCATAGCTATAACCCTAACGTCCTCCTGCCATATCATGCGCCAAAAGTCGTCTTTTGTGTTGGAGAGACAGCCTTGGGCAGCTATGTACGTTTTGTCTTTTACTGAAATAAAAAATTAAATAATATTATATTTATTTTTGTTTTAATACGACCTTCATAAACGCTAATCTTGTTTTAATTTTATGAATATAAATATTGTTGAATTTTAATTTTATCAAGATTTTATAACAATGTTGTTTACGTTTTTCCTTACTGGTGAAAATACGTTACGTTGTAAAAAATGTTATTCATTGCCAACCAATTCGAGAATTCAATTTGTTTGTATCTAGATATCAAAATCATAAAGTGGCCACGTAAAATGAAAATAAAATATTTTTATAAGTGTTCCAATGTTAAAATATAGCAAACACGAAAACCAGTATTTTTTACTTTATTCCTTTCTTTTAAAACAGTATTTCGTATGAAAATAAGTTAAATATCTCACCTGTTACATCACGACAAAGGTTGCCGTTAATTTTATCCAGTTTTAAACATTTTTTCACTTCTCTCAATGCTTCATCAGAAAGGGACTTGGAAACTAGAGGTGGTGCCTTCTTCGATTCACTGTTCAGGATCAGAGCTGTAATGACAGAATTATCATCATCATCAGTAACATAATCATCAGCCTATAAGGGCCCACTGCTGAACAAAGGCCTCTTCTCATACGGAGAAGGTATTTAAAATTACAACTCCATGTTTCCTTACGATGTTTTCTTGCACCGTATGAGAGTGGTATTTAAAAACTCTAAAACATACAACTCAGATAAAGTCATAATGAGAACTTGCTTTAAATTATCAATAATAAAAGGTTTGTTTATTAAGCTTCAAAGGTAATGAAGCACAAATTTAAATATATGAAACAATGAATTTATTTTTACAAATAAACCATAAACGGCACTTTTACACGTCAAAAATATACGTATAGGTAGATAGCTAAGATAGCGATAGCTCTACTGAAATACGCAGATTCAGTTTAATTTATCGATAACCTATAGCACTCAGGAACATTGTAGCTATCTATCAGTGACAGCATATTGGAAATCAAGCTCCCCAAACTTACAAATTTACCTATTAATAATGTTACTACATATACCTATATATGCAGGCGCCGATTTCTGCGTTTATATTATGAAGTCTAACTACTGTTTCTTCACTGTCTGTATTGTGAACACATTGTAATTCATTGTCATCATTATTCTTAATAGTTAGTGACGTGTGCGTTTATAGCCAAACAGTATATTTTTCCTCGTCCGTCAGTAATTCTGGTCACGAATCGATCAGTCTGGCGTTCGGTTACCGAATTCGCAAATTTACCTACCTACTACGTACATTATCTAGACAAAGAAACAGGGGGTTTTTCTCGAAACAGGTAGGTACTGATAAAAGAGGATGTCTTCGTAATGTATTCTATAGTTATTTTATTCATTAAAACCCATCTGACTGACAAACAAAACACCTTTTGTTTAATCGTAATTCTAATTCTTTCTTGTGTTTTATTAGAGATTTATGGATAGAGAATTTAAGTATTAAGGATGGGGCGGGGAAAGGATTGGGCCTTTAGTAACCACGCCAGTTTTCTGTGAGGCTGAGCCATCATTCCGGTTGAGTTGGCTCATTCGTGCCCAAGCATGGCTCTCACACAGTCTTGGATATGTGTATAAATAGCGTGGAAAAGCGATACTTATACTTGCAGTTACGTACTTGACAGATTGCTAATGCTAAAATGTTGCTAAGTCTTTACTTTTGGGCTACCACGATGTTTGATTTTATATTTCCTTTTTTTTACTACAAGACAAGTATAGCTAGTACATACTTCAATAGCTCTTTAAACATCAAGGAATTCAAGCGATTACCAACAACTTACTGCACTAGATTAAAGTATCAATGTATACAAGGTGATCATATTGAAAGAGGTTTACGACTAAATTACACCTTATTGGTATCTACCGAAGCTTGTAAATTAATATTGAAAAGTAGGTTATCGAATTTGTGACTGTCAGCTCTGTCTTTGTTAAATTCTAGCTGGATTGAAACTAGTTATGTAGAATATATCTAATTTTTCTTCATTACCCCGTGGTATGGAGCGCGGATCCACGCGAGACACAATGTGTTTTCTATTATTTGTCATTTAGCGGCAAACAAGAGCTTAATATTTAAATCTTTCCCCATAAGTACCATGATTTTCTCCTGGATAACCCAAGCATTGTTTACAAACATACAATTTTAAAGCCAACGTCGAATGATTCTGATTAAAATGGGAGGCAGATCCATCAGTCTATCGCCAGTTCAAAAAATGTGTATTGTTTTGTTATACTTACATTGAACACTGTCCAGGCTCTCATTTGAGGACTGTACGGATGAGGAGGAGTCGCTAAGCCTCGAGGATCTGACGTAGCTAGCGTTGATGTAGTCTGACTCTGGCCTATTGTCTCGCCGGCGAAGAACCACACGAGTTTGGTCATCTGGAATTGAAATGTTTTATTTTGCAGCCATATAACTCTTAAACACTAAATAAACGAAAATACTAACATACAAATATATCACTCGGACTTAATTTTAGTGACAAATAGATTTGTAAAAAAAAACAAATTTATCGTCTGTCATATATTTGCATTACTACAAAAAAAAAATTATCAAAAAATACAATAAAACTAGAGAATGAATAAAGCTCAAGTAAAATAGACCACCATCTATAGACACTTTTGGACATCAATCAAAAAATACATAATAATATCAAAAATTCGACTTGTGTCTTGCAGTCTGTCCTTTAGTGAAGCTATTTGCTTGTTCCAAAGTACCTAGGTATAGATACTTATGGTATGAAAAATATAAACGGTATGGTAAACTCGACTTACAAGGTAAAATATTTCTGTATCGGTTCTTAAGGGCGTTCTCTGGTCTGGTACCCTCGAAGTTGGTAAAAATATGGCGATCCTCCAACATCTTCAGCGACTGAAACTCTCCGTCAAATCCGCATTTGTTGTCCAGCTTCTGATAGTCCTCAATCTCCTGGAGACAAAACGAATAACACGTGAAAATGGTTCTTCAAAACTAACATTAAATAAAAATAAAATTCTCCAAGTAAATACACTACCTCCATGATGACAGAAAACACTATTCGTGAAAAAAGTAATGTTATGTCAAAATGATTTAGAGGTCATATTTATAAAGAAAACATATTCATTTTGCTATAGTATCTTGGGTAAAAAAGTATCTACGTAGGTAAAAGTATTTGCTTAAATACCTGACATTTAAACAAAAGAAAAAAACAAAGAATTACTGGCAAGTGGACACAACCGTCTAACTTAATGATTGTCCACTCATTACCTACCTAACTACCATGACAAAATTAATTAAATAAATAAATTACGAACGGGTAATTAAAACATTTATGTGCCATTTATGCCAGACAATAAAAATAAGGTAAGGTGAAAATAATAATAAAAATGTCAATTCCCCACTGGGTTGCGCAAGCGGCGGTGGCATGTTATACATTCATATATTATGCGCGAACGCAACAGAAACAGCGCGCATTTTTATAAAATGCCTAACGATTCCCGCGCATGTTGTTGTACACGTGCCTGTGAGGTTGCATCTTAAGCATTGCATGTTTTATGCAGTCAGAAGGTTGTCAGCGACCACAATAAAGCTCGCTGTCAACACTTGATATGATGATTATATTCGTGCATTCTGAATGGCAAATGGGAACAACTTCATAATATAGGAAACAGGTAATCAAATTTGATACAGACTGGTAAGCACATATAGCCAGTCAGGGATAATTGTACACGTATATTACATAATAATAGTACGTGCAAAAAAAGTGGCTCATCTACGAGGGACTTACATAGGACTATGAATATGGATGTCTCGATTTTACAGTGTTCAAAGATTTAATGGGTTATTTTTTTAAAGGAGGAATATCATCATATTATTTCTCTCGCCCAGGGTGAGACGAGAGGGAGTGCCAGACTCTTACTGACTAAAAACCATCTCGTTCCTTCCCCTGCTCCAGGCCAAGGCTGCAGTACGTTATAACGCTTGCTCCCCAACCCCGGGTGATCATTCAAAGTATAGAAATTAAAGTTTTCTTTATCCAAATGTTGATCTAGTTGAATTAAAAGAACTTTATTCTCAGAAGAATGTCATGTTTGTCAAACTTGAGGATAGCCTGCTTTCAGCAGTAAATTATGTATAGGCTGATGATAATGAAGATGACAAGTCCATAATACAATAGTTCGCTTAAAATTATCAAAGAACTTTCTTATTTAGTTGTCATGTTAAATTCTTGAATGTTTGTATTCATCATCAGATTATTGAATTGAAGAAAAAAAAAATATTGTCACATAAATAGGGTCGGGTTGGCCCAAAGGTTAAGGGTACGAACACGACTTGGATTTTTATAAACAAGGGTGCGGTGACAGACGATAGACGATCGTGAGGAAACAGGGACTATTAAAAAGCCGGTAATGCACTTACAACTCCTAGCAGGTGTCCAGGAGTGACGCCAACGAGCGATTAGTATCCTTAGTCTGCTCAAAGTCCAGTCAAAATCATTTATTTCCGTTAGACCCTTACGTTGTACGTAAGGCTTACTTAGTTTGAAGTTAAAAAAGTGCCTTTTTTAACTTCAAACTAAACTTAGAGATAAAAAGCGTCAATCTGTCGGTCAGTCCTCTAAGTGAAGCTAATTTCTTGTTCCAAAGTTTTGAATTCAATAGAGAAGAACGCGCAAGAAACTCCATGACTATATGCTCTTAAAGGACCCATCCCATACAATCACAACAGCAGTTCGCTTTGCCTGCCTAACCTGCATTTCCTGGACCTTGCGGTCGATGTCATGTGCTCGGAGCCGGGTCCCGCTGACAGGCTGCAGGAGTCGCAGCACATCACCAGATGTCTCGATCATGGGGTACAGTCTGAAGTGTTCAATTAATCCTACTAAGTCGTCGAACTGCTCTCCACTGCCAACGTCGTATTTATCGTGCTGGGGACAAAGAAAATGGTACAAATGATTTATTGGTTAATAATAATAAATACTTTAATAGTTCTAATAAAAACAAGCGTTTTACAGTGACTGGTTACGACTGGTCTTCTTCAAGACCATATCGGTATTAGTGGTACGCACCGGGGCGATTTTGGTAAGTTGAGAATCGCCACACTCACTAGTATTTCTTCGTAAATACTAAAAGCTTTTTGAAAGTCACCAAGAACGGGAAGGCCGTTAACAAAACAATTTGTGAATCACACAAAGAGTTGTTCCGTGCGGGAATATTAACCGCGGCACGGGCAGCCAGTTACCTAGCCACCGTGCCACCCGTGCAGTCAGCGAATTTAATTTTATGTAAGTATACGCTTCTCTATCTACGATTGAACACAATGACGATGTTTTATTTATTTATAATAACATGCTAGGAATTCATGAGAGGCATCCCAATCAACTTTGAACAGGATAACGTAAGTAATTAAGGTGACGACTTGGTAATTAAAACATTGCATAGCATTAATATTTTATTGATGTCTAGATCCGGAATGGATGTGTGTTATAGGTATGAAAATCACCTCGTACGTGATCTAAGAAGCTATTTTATTACTAGCAACTCTTTATGTATTTATTTCTTTCCTTGATAGATACTTTGATTTTCAGTTTTATCGTTTGTCATGAGATAGCTATGCGAAGCGAAGCTACGTACGTGACTTGACGTCACTAGGTCTACTATTTGGGCACCTTAATATAGTCTTTTGTTTTTAGTCTGTAAGAATCTAACACTCCCTCACGTCTTGTCCTGGGCGAGAGAGGTCATTTAATGAATTACCTCACAAAAAGTAGATACCTACACCTTTTTCCCGTAATTAATTCTTGGGTACGATAGTTATAATTTGCCATACGGAAAAGCGGTCGACAGTTATTTTATAGCAATCGGCGTCCTGATTGGCCTGCTCCAAGTTAATCAACCAATCAACGGGCGGTGTCTTTTCGTTCACGTTTCAGTAAAACAAACTCTTACTAGGCACCCAGCTCTAGATGGCAATCACATTAATTTACTTATCCAGCTCTAAGAGGGACGAGAAAGAGTTAGACCCTTACTGACAAAAACCCTCCTTCCTTTTCCTGCTCCCAGCCACGGTCGCGGTATCTTAATTGCGTTTGCCTCAAAATTCTGGCTGAACTTGGATAACATAATTACAATATTGAAGCTAAGGAGAAGTTAGCGCAAAAAAAATCCCAAAGTCAGGGTCACAACATGGAGCGTTCAAGGTTAATGATGTGTGACAACAGTCACGTACCTAAACACAAATGTCCTTGTGAGTATTTTCTTGTAAGTTCATTCCTATTCCGCCATGGTCCTCAGTGGTCGTTTAAACACGTTATCATGCGGATCACGTTTCACTATTTACAACGTTTTATAGGAAAACTGTCCACTTATTGTAATATAGTGCAATTTACTGCTGGAAACTTCTTAGAAGACCTTCAGTGTATTGTTGTGGTCTATTTGTGAGATGTGGGTAGGTTTTTTTTATGTGGTAGGCAATCATCCCCGGCCCAGACACATAGACACCCGCATCAATGGAGGAGTTACGAGTGCGTCGCCGTTTTTTGTGGACTAGGGATTAGAAGATTTTGTGATTAGCGGGGAGGAAGGGTTGACACGGCGAAGCACAATGCTGTCGTTGTTTCGAGCCGGATTTCTGTGAGGCCCTGGAATCACTCTGGTCGAGCCGACACATCCGCGTCGAAGCTTGGCTTTCCCACGCTTAATATTCGTTAGGGATGTAAGAGCAACCATTCCGCGGCCCGCCTTACGATAAGGAAGTTCTATTCTTACAAATAAGACAAACGAACGAGCAGAATTAATCGATAAAGGAAGTTTTTTAGTTTTTACTTCTACTTATTTGTATAAGTAAATGTTTATTCTACATACTTACTTGTGTTTTTACAAGGCTTAATACGATACATTTTCATGATAATGTATGTGAATATGTATCTATCTAACAACTTTAATCATTGGACATTACAAACAATCATTGCATTTTACCTTAAAGAAAAAATTGTTTATCAAACCACTCACGTCAGTGACTAGTGTAAGTATAGGAATAACTCCGCGTAACTTCTGATTGCCTGGTACTATTTTACGGTACCTATATAAGATCTATATAACATACGTTGCATATTTATTTATATGGCGGTGGAGGCGCACAGAGTTCCAATGTCTTAGAATTGGGTAGTTTCGTAGGTCAAAATAAATTAATTCGAGGTTTGAATAGAATAAAATATTGAACATACTTTTATTCATCGATCGATCAATACACATTGTGTAATTATTAAGAAATAAGTAAGCTTTTTGACGCAATAATACTATGACGTCATAACTCAGTGTTTCATACAAATTTCATTAAAAAGTATCGTTTTTGACATTTGAATAAAAGTATTGAATTTGACTAGTTGGAAACTACCGTATTTCCACTGATGGGATATTCAGCATGTCAATTTATTTCTAGCTTCTTTTTCCTGAATGGTCACAGAGGCTCGGAGATTATGAGGCCGCTTCTCATGCACAAGGGTTCGAAATCTACCAAGTACCGACGTTTGTCCGTTTACTGAATACGGTTGTTTCCAACTAGTCAAATTCAATACTTTTATCCAAATGTCAAAAACGATACTTTTCTGTGAAAATTGTATGACATGAAAGATTGAATTATGACGTCATAGCATTTTTGCGTCAAATAGCTTACTTATTTTTAAAAAATTAGCTAAAAAATATCTAAAACTTAGTGTATCGATCGATCGATGAATAAAAGTATAGTTATTTTTCAATATTTTATCGTATTAAAACGTCGAATTAATTTATTTTTGACCAAGGAAACAACCCAATTGATGTGACAGCCATGTTAAATTAACCGCAGTGTTAGTTGATCAATGAATTGACAAGCTTTTCAGAAATCGGGTTTTAGAGATCAAAGCAAGTGTGGGAATTAAAGATCATCCTTTCTCCGTGTGAGATTCAGCCTTTCATTAGCATCGGGCAGTTATTAGATGACGATGTGAAATGTAAAAGATAGTTAAACGCTGCATTTACGGAAAGTTGACGATTATGTAGGTATTTACGAAAGTATTCCATATAAGAAAATTCAATGTATTTTTTATTTATTTTTTGTGATGTCGTAGAAATTATATTTGAGAGGTGTCTCTCAACAAATGCAATGCAACAAGGCAATGCCTCGCACTGCAAAACTTTGGAATAATCTTTCGGCGGTGGTAATTCAGAACTGGTTCACTTTCAAGAAATGACCATACTTACTCTCTCGAGGAATATCCTAGAGCGGCACGGATAATTATTCACCATCAGGTAATCCATCTAGTCTTTTGCGTATAATTCAATAAAAAAACACAAATAGGTCAACCTGACTTTGATAGCAAATCGTTCGTGTTCGAGTCCGATTAAAATTTTTTCTAATCTTGATAAGTGGTTGCACCAACCCTGGTTAGTCGCCTGTGACCTTGGTAAACTTCATTCCGATGCGAAGACTACACGCTTATAAAGTTTTTACTTTATCCCATAATGGGTTTACTCCTTCGATTCATGATGCCCTTTTATGCTAGAAACTATGTTACGAAGCATTTTCTTGAGAAATTCAAGGGAATAGTTTTTATGGAATGCTGATGTTTAGCACGACTAAACATCAGCATTCCATAACGTAGTTCATGTGATCACGTTTTTATAACTGTTTCTATAGTAACTATGTACTTGATTCTCAGGCCGATCCCACTAGACATTGTACTAGCATTGACGTCAACGTCGGGTCTGCGTAGCGTCGACGCTGCGCTGACGCGACATTAACGTAGCGTTTGTTGGCAACAAGTACTTACATGGCAAAGACTACGTTTGATAGAGTAGGGCGGACATTAATGTTGCGCAGACGCATTTAGCGAACGTTAATGCTTGTCACGCGACAATACGGCGTTAACGTCGCGTGAGCGCGGCGTCGAAGCTATGCAAACGCGACGTTGACGTCAACGCTATTAAAACGTCTAGTGGGATAGCGGCCTTAGTAATCCGTTTGGAAAAATCTTTGAGACAAGTAATATTTTAATAAAGAGGATATTTTCATAAAGGAAAGAAATTCCTATGAACGGTTTAGGCTCATATTTGAATTATACCTATCTGATGATAATAAATAGACGAGTAGTGTGTCTTTTTAAGGCCTTTAAAATGAAATTAAATCGAATAAGCAGAATTATCAAGGTTTCTATCAGTTAAAACCCCCAATATTCCACACGCTGTTTTATTACTGTTGTTGATAGACGCTATTTTTATCTAAATATACATACATACATTGCAAAAGTACCAGGATCACATAGCGTGCGAAGAGTAATTTAATATTGCAGTTATAAAGTGATCATACGCATTCATCTCTTTCACTCAGTGGATCTCAGTCGCTCATTGAAATATGGTATATTATACAGAACATTGCAAAGGTACTAGGATCACATAATATGCGAAGAGCAATTTGATATTCTAGTTGTAAAGAGATGGCACGCGGTCATCTCTGTCGCCCATGACATCTCTGTCACTCATTGAAATAAATTAGCTTATTGTGTGCAATAGGTGATTATATAGAAATAATGTATATAACTGCGGTCCTACTAGTCTCTCTTGTCGTAAAGCTGTGCCAGTATTTTTCCTTTAACGATTGAACAATGTTCAGTTATCACTGTAAAAACCTAGACAAACGCTAGAGAAAGAAATTCTTTTATTTTGTTGTTCTAAGATACTCTTCAGTTTAATTACGAATAGGGTTGTCTGACTACTGCCCTGCATTTCAAAGAATAGTCTTTTTTTTTTTCATTTTTTCTTAAACCCGATATGGGTCGAACGACGATATGGTATCAACAGATAGGTCTTCAAAAACGATACAGATGTTTCTATTAGTTAAAAATATTATTTATATTTATATCTTAAATATCTCATTGCAATAAAAATACAA